GCACTGCTAAGGACAGGACACAGCAAGGAAACAAGGCTGAGGGGAATGCAGGACAGGAGAGAAAAATCATAAAGTGCCTGAACTAAACAACCAAGTGGGACATGAGGGCACAGCAGCACAGGTCCCTGAGGATAGGAGGAAAAAAGGGCTAGACCACCAGGGCTTGGGACATAGTGGAATGAAAATAGAAATGAGGCAGGGAGGCAAGTGCAGGCTGTGGGAAGGACTTCCCTAGCCCTGTTCACATCCACTAACCCAAATGAAAAATTATTTACAGACTTAAAATCCATCCCAGGCACAGGTGCTGCACCAAGCCTAGGACAGCAGGCAGGCAGGCAGAAGGCAGGCTGGCTACCAACTGATAGCCAGCTTCCCCACACACTGCCCCACCCTAGAGTGGTAGGGAAAGGAGAAAAGAGGAACACCTCAAGCCAGGAAGCCCACTGTGCCTGCAGCTCTTTCCCCATGGCTCATGGCTCTACCATGGCCTGTGCCTCTTGGTCTGACTGTACCAAAGAATGGGTATCTGGCCCCAAAGAAGGAGGGGGTGGAGCATCAGGGGGCTCTGGGTGTATCTCTGGCCCCAAGCCCAGCTCTGCATTCAGTTGCTCCAACTCCCCCTGATCCAGCAATTCAAAGTCCTCAGTGGCAAGTGCCTCCTCTTCCTCAGGGGCAGACAGGGGTTGGGGTGAGTCCTGGGGAAGAGGAGGGAGCATGGAGGGGGAAGGGAAGGGGATTGGGTCACTTTCAACAAGGCAAAGTGGGGGTGACAGGGTGCTGGGTGGAGCCATGAGGTCACCACTCACTGCCTCTGGGCTCAGCGTCTCCACTGGTCCTCCAGGGGAGCACTTCACTTCATCCTGGGGGGACCCTGCCCCATTGAAGTGCGTGTTCACAAAGTGAAGAGGGGATGACAGCCGAAGCAAGGTTTCCTTGGCTGCTACATCTTCCTCCCCTTCCTCCAAGTCCAGGGCTTGCCTTAAGGGAGCTGGTGGGGTACCTAGCAGATCTTCAGGAGGGGCCAGCTCTGCCTCCTCTCCTTCCCCCAGCTCCCGGCTCAGGGCCTCCTCTGGCTCACTCGGCAGGCTCTGCTGGTCCAAGTCTGAGCAGAGAAAAAGTTAGAAATGGGGCTGTTACTCTGACCACAATAGTCAAAAGTTCAAGGACACAAACTTAAAAAATGGATGCTAGGCCAGGGATTATGTTAAGATCTTTCGGGACCTTAAATCAGAGGGTGCGTTCCCCAGAGGAAATATGATTTGTGGGAAGCCAGAGAGCACAACCAGCACCCCATGGAATGAAAAAAGGAAGATTGAGAGAGGCAAAAGGCTTCCCATACCTTCAGAGACATCTGTCAACTGTGGAGTTGTGGCCCGTGATACAGAGAAGCCACCACTCTCCAAGATAGAGGCCTCCTCATCTGACAGCTCTGAATCTGTAATGGCCAAGGCCAGTGCTGTTTTCTTCACATCCACCTGCAGGAGAACCAGGATGAACACAACAATGGGATAAGAGCACCGTGCTCCCAAACTGTAGGGTTCCCACCTCCTTGAGAGGTGGCAGTTCTAAAGCATACAGATTTCCCCAGCCTTCTATTTGACATCCCCATCTCCCCTGGACCTCACCACTGGGGAGAAGCCAGCCAGCTCTGCCTCGCTTTCACTCTCTGTTTCTGCCAGTGGCTCATCACCTCCTGGGGGTGCGTTCTTCCCTTGCCGCTCTAGAGAAGAGCAATAAGGCAGTGTCCAAGCAAGGACAATAGTGGGGGACAAACATGGCCAAGGAACTGGAGATGATCTAAATTCCAGGGCATTTCAAGCCATAATCCAGGTCCTCCCCCCTTCACCCTCCTGGATTGAGAGAGTCCCTTACTCCTCTTGTCATGTTTGTGATGCAGGGCATCAGCTTCCGCCTTCATGCTGTAGTCCAGCTGCATGAGCAAGGGCTCCAGGCGAGTGTACATCCTCTGGATCAGCTCATGATAAACCACCAGGGGCCACAGCAGGATACTCAGCACTATGGGTTAGAAAGTTCACTCAGAGTTCTCTAGGCCAGTTTCCTAGACAGCCTTCATTCAGCTGGTCTCTAAGTAAGAAGAGCTGAAGGAATCCTGGTCCTTTCCCAAGTAGTGCTACCCTTTTTGCCCCAAATCTACTGTCTTCCTCCTTAAACGACTCTTCTACTATAAACAGGAATGCTCTATAGCATCCCTGGAAACCTCCACAGATGGGGAACTGAACAAAGAAAACATAGTCCTCCCCCTAGGTTGGTCTGTGGAAAGAAAAGAGGAGGGCTATGGGAAGGGCAGGGCTGGCCCTTACTCACAGACAATGTAGGAAATCATAATCCCTGGGACATAGTGTCCCAGTACAGCCAGCACAGCACAGCCAGAGCAGACTCGCGCACAGAACTGCAGAGAAGAATACAAGGTCTGTGAAGATGAGTTTGCTGAGCTTTGTGCCCAACTCATGTAGGTTAACAAACTACTGCTCAGCTGTGACAGAATGGGTATTTCCACTAGAAGTTCAGTGATCCAGTCTAGTCAACAGGATGCCCATGACAATCAATTCAGGAGGTTTGCAACAGATAGCTCACAACACTTCTGCTCTACCCTACCCTCACCTTCAAAAAACCATTACAGGGTGTGGGGAAAGTTACCTGAGCTGGATTCTGCCTCTTATACTGCAGCAGCTCTTGCAGGTGAATCTGGAAGGTGAGCCAGCTCTCAGCCAGGTATCTGCATAACTCGGGCACACTCAGCAGGTGCGGCCGGGCGCCTGACCCCGCACCCTCACTGGAGAGACATGACATGACCCCTAGAGGCCTCAGACACCAGTTTCCTAGGCATTCAATTCCCTCTAAGACTGCTGATGAGATCTTCAGTCTAACGAAGTTAAAAAAAAAAAAAACCCAAAAAACCAAAACCCACCTCCGGAAGGGGGACTGTCCCAGTCCTGGGTATAAGCAAAGCCCAGGGTACCCAACCCTCTGCGTCAAAAGCAGCAGTTGTACAAACACCAACACAGGAGCCTAGGACCAAGAAAACTCCGGCCTATTGTCAGTCCCTTCACTTGGCTCGGGCTGTGCCTGTAGAAGCTGCAGCACTGTTCTTCTTTGTGGTGACATCAGCACCAAGAAGCAGACTGTCTTCAGGAGATGGTCTGTACTCACCTGTCAGAGTGTGGTTCCTCAGGGGATGATGCTATGGAGAAAGAAAGGTAACAAATTATTAAGTGGTAGAGGCACTGGCAGACACTCCCCAGGCAGAAATAGTTATCCTCCTCTGCAATCCCAGAAAACTTTCTTCAAATACTAACTGCAGTAGGTATTACACATTGCTCTATATCCTTTTTTAAACTTTACCCTGTAAACACAGACACCACATCTTATTGTTGTTCATATCCCACACAATTCACACAGCTTGACACCTCTTGCTCCAAAATGCACATTAAATATAAAAAAAACAACCCAACAAACTAGTACAAATACCGTTAAGTTAAACACTACTATAATCATGCATCATGTGTTGACTCATTTAATCCTTATCTTGTTACGATGTTAAATTCTATCATCCCTACTTCAGAGATAAGAAAACTGAGACAGAAATTGAGACTATTTATAAGGTTATACACATGTAAGTGCTACTGAGTTGGGCATGAAACCCTGGCAAGCTGGCTGCAAAATCCACTCTTAACCACTACATCCACAGACACATCAATTTTGGGAAATGCCTGCTATATGTTACCTTCATCCCCATCCAGGAGATCAAGCACAGAAATAAACAGGTGCTTGCCCAATGAAGAACCACTCACCTGAAACATCAGGGAGGAAGCGAGGTTGCCACAGATCCAGCAGAAAGTAGGCCAAAAGTGAGATGCTGAGTAGGAAGAAAGGCCGGAGGGACGATGAGGACAGCAACCTTTGAGAGAGAGAACCACCCCACGGGGAGTGGGTGAGAGTGGCTCCTGCGTTCATCGCTAAAGGCGGAAAAGCGCCCACAGATGCGGGTACAGCACTTGCAGGCCTAACTCGCCACCCAGAGATAGAGGAATGCAGCAACCCAGGCGGACGTCAGCCTTCAAAACCTGGGGGATGGATCATTTCCCCAGGCCAAGTGACAACCCAGAAAGGAGAAAGGTGCTCCTGGTCCCTTCCGCCCCCGCTCTCCCGCGCAGCCCGGCCCCGCCCCCCTCCTCCGCGGCCGTTACCAGAAGAGGCCGTTGAGCGCGGCCGCCGTGACCAGGCTGTGCAGCGGCTTTTCCCACACCAGCAGCCGCTGCGCCGCCGCCAGCACTGCCTCCCAGCCGCGGAGACGCAGCCACAGTGTCGTGGCCAGGCGTCCCACCGCCTCGGCCGTGGCCGCCTCCTCCTCCGCCTCGCAGGTGGCCTCACCCATGCCGAGGCTCAGACCTAGGCCCAGGCCCAGCCCCGGCCCCCCACCTGCGCCGGTGTTACCACCGCCTCCGCCGCTCGCCATAACCCAGCCGCAGCCGCCGCCCGAGCCCACTAGGAGCCAGGGCTGCGCGGCCGCCGCCAGGGGCGCGTCAGGCGGAAGGGGGCGCAAGCCGAGGAGAGCAAAGGCTGCGGACTGGCGTCACGTGACGAAGGAGCGCCGAGGCCGTCACGTGACGCGGCTCAACCGCCCGGATGGGCGACCCGCGCGTGCGCGCAGGCGGCTGCGTTGACCCGGCACCTACGCAGGTGCGTAGTTCTTCCTGTGGTATTCGTGACCGTAGGTCGGGGTCCCTTCCGCACAGTTCGCGTTCTTGTCTCAGTGTCCGCAGGGAGACTGAGGCGCCTAGAGCTGATCTTATCACAGGTGTGACCCCGATTGGAGGTGCAGAAAGTGGGCTTCCGGGCGCCCAGTATCCTGGGTAGGACCTGTTGCTGCTGCTGCTCGGGAAGGGCGGCGGCCGTCTCAGTACTCAACTCCCTACGTACTAGTGGCCCTCCCAGGTCCCTCCCCTCAGCGGGTAAACAAACACTAGCGCGTGACTCGACAGACTTGAAAACAAGTTGCTTTTTCCCCTTTCCGTAAACTTCTTTCTTGACTCCACGTTTTGGCGCTCCTTGCTCCCCCATCGCCTTGCGTGAGTGAGGGCGGTAGGTGAGTTTAAAAATAAAACCAGAGATGCAGCTGTTGGTGGGGAGACATACAAACATCACTGTTTGCAGTAACCCAGCAAAACTACTTATTCATTTAGGCTTAAAATGTCAAGCTGTACTGGAAGGTATACAGTGAAAAGCTAAAGTGTCCCTTTCACCTGCCCGTAGTGCTCCCACAGGAAGTTTCTGTGTGCTTTCGCAGCCGCCTTTTGTGTGCATTATTGACTGAGTTCATCTCTTCTAAACAAGTGGGGCAGCTCGGTGCTGCCTGCTTTATTCACATTAACACAGGGACACGGAAAGGTCCGCCTGGCTGGTTCGCCCTCGGCGGCGTGGTCTCCTAAGAACTGTCCCCATTTCTGAGACGAAGGTCCTCGGGGCTCAGCTCTGCCCCTTGGCCCGGCTCTGTGAGCTCTGCGGGGCTCGTCTCCCCGGCAGGCGGGGCGGCATTTCCTGCCGGCCTCTGACTCGCCGGCGTCGCGCGCGCGGCTTCTAGACGCGGGGCGGACGCGGCACGGCGGAGTAGGCGTTGGGCTGCGGGGTCGTCTCTTAACTGCGAGGTGAGCGCCGCGCCAGGCACCCGGCCGTGGAGCTCCGCCGCGCCGCGCTCGGGCGGAACAGGAAGAAGCGCCGGTCTGCCAGGGCTCCGCCTGCCGCTGCCGCCGCGAGGGGAGGGGGCTGGCGGGCGAGGGCTGCGGCCCGCTCGGGGAGACAGGCGGGCAGGTGAATCGGCGGCGAGGACGGCTCTGCGGGCCCTTTACAACTCCTTTCTTTCTCCACCTTGGCAAGGCGGCGGCTGGCGGTGCGATGGACCTGGCCGGGCTCCTGCTGGACGAAGAAGGCACCTTCTCTCTCTCCGGCTTTCAAGATTTCACCGTGAGCGCGCAGGCCGCCCTCTTCTCCAGCCCCCTTCTCCAGCAACGCCTTTTATGCTGGGCGTTCCCCTCAGGCCTCCAGTGGACCGAAAGCTCACCGTCTTTCGGTGCCCGGGACTGGGCGGCAGCCGCTGGAGTAGTGTTTACTCGAGGCCCGGCCTCTTGGGCCCTGAGGCACAGCCGCGGGGCAAGAAGGGGGGGGGTGGCTGGACTAGGGGCCCATTTTGGAGACTGTCACCGGGGAGCTCTCAATAGGGCTTTGTGTTTTCCTCCCCTGTGGCACAGACTGCCATTTGCAGACAGTCCAAAGAACTAGGAACTGAGTGGGGCATAAGGCCCCTAGCAGCAAAGCGGACCCTTACCACCTAAGGAGAGCCAGGATCTTCATTATACTCTTCTCTACAGTTCACTCTCCACCCCCTCCTGCCCTGTTTTTTAGTTCCTCCCAGGACACCAGAAGCTGAATGCTCGGATCCGAAGGAGACTGTACTATGGCTGGGACTGGGAGACTGACTGCAACCTGGAGGAGCTCTCTAGCCCTGTAGCAGGTTAGGCAATGACTGGGCAAATGATGAGGGTAAGAGAGGGGCTGTCAGCAGTCACCCAGATACCTCCAGTTTACTCCCAGAGCTGTATACTGTCTCATCAAAGCTAGCTCATTGGTACTTGGTTCAAGAATGCAGGTTATAGCTCATGTTCTTCTAGCCCCTGAGAATAAACAACATTTCACAGCCAGTGTTTTGTTTTTGTTTTTGAGATGGGGCCCTTTTTTTTTGTTCTTCAGGCTGGTCTCCAGTTTATGAGCCCAAGTCATCCTCCTGCCTCAGCCTCCCAAGTATCTGGGACTTGTAACAGGCACCCAGGCCTGCTCTTTTTGTGTGTGTAGTATTGGGGATTGAATCCAGAGCCTTACACATGCTAGGCACATATTCTACCACTGAGCTACACCACCCTGGTATTTCTTTGCATTCATATATCAGAAACTTAGTTTTCTAGGGATTTCCCTTGGGTATGTCTATTTCTTAGACAAACATCAGCAAAAGACAGATATGATCCATTTGAATTGACAGGGAATTAGCCTTTCTGCTGGAAAGATCTGAAATTCAAACTTAGGGCTTTTTGTCTCATCTTGAGACCATTTGCTCTCTATTTTGTACCCAAGGCCTCAGATAACATAGACCTGGGTTTTTACTGATAGCAGTGGGGCCTGGTGTGGGAGTCATTTGTTCACTTTGTCTTCCTTCTTCCCTTTACAGACATTGCAGTAGAACTGCTCCAGAAAGCAGCCCCCAGTCCTATTCGCCGACTCCAGAAGAAATATGTAGCTCATGTGTCACGGTGAGCCAGGAACTGAGGATCAACTAGGATGAGAGTTTTTGGGCCCTATAAAGGGGAGAATATTGTCTCTAAAGAGAAGATGTAGAGATGGGTGTTGTAAGAATTGTGAGAGCCGAATGACCCTTGGCTTTAGTTACTGATTCTTTCCACCTCCTAGGGAGGCGTGCATTTCCCCGTGTGCCATGATGCTAGCTCTGGTATACATTGAGCGGCTCCGGCACCGAAACCCGGACTACCTGCAGCATGTGTCATCCTCGGACTTGTTCTTGATCTCCATGGTGAGGTGCCCCTCTCCTTCATCTCTCTGGTGAGCCAGGAACCTGGCACAAGCTCTATTGATGCCACTTCTGGTTCCTATGCAGATGGTGGCCAGTAAGTACCTCTATGATGAAGGGGAGGAAGAGGAGGTTTTCAATGATGAATGGGGAGCTGCTGGAGGTGTGGCTGTGCCCACTCTCAACGCCTTGGAGAGGAGCTTCCTACGTGCCATGGCAAGTAGCTATTCTGTCTCTCACTTTTTTCCCCTGGTCCGTCTGTTCCTTCCTTTCGTTCTTTGTTCTCTCTCAGTTTTCTGCTGTTTTTTTCATTTCTCTTTTTGCCTGTCCTCTTTGTGCCTTTTTGTTAATTGTTTTACCTTCTTATCCTTTCAGGATTAACCTTTAGGAAATTCCTGGAGTGGTGAGGCCAGAAGTAGAGTACTTCCTTCCCTCCTTTATTCTTCTAGGACCCCACAGGGCACACTGAGTCAGACCTGTCATGTTGGGCTCTGACTGTTTGCTTCCAAACTTATTCTGCCTCTACACTCTAAGCTCTGTGGACATGGACCATTCTCTGGGTTATTTTCTGTCTTTGCCCTTAATGTAGGGTATAATGTGAAAGTAGGTATTTTGTGTATTATATCAGCTTATGTAAAAGCTCTTGAGACAGTAATGTAAATACAGAGTAAATGTCAGCTATGTAGAGGTTGTAGTTTCTGCCATGGCTCATGTTCTCAGATGACTGTGGCTCACATCCAAGTCAGGTTTGATGCTCTTCCCTCTTGCCCACAGGACTGGAGTCTGTACACTGACCCAAGGGAGATCTTTGAGGTGCTGAGCTGGCTGGAGAGTTGGTATGTTCTATGAATCAAAAAGAAAGGCTTGAGGGATTGAGAAGCTAAGGCCTAACCCATAGAATCTAGAAATGAGGGTCTGTGTGACTTGGGGTAGGAAGGAAACAAATAAGAGAGTTGCCCAAGGTGGTGATTCCTAAACCTGCCTGCCCTCTTTTAGGAGGCTGAGAGTAGATTATTGGAAATATGTACCTTTCCAGCACTGCAAAAATAAAAATAAAATACAGATTTTGGTCTGTTTCTTTGCTTCTGGAATCTGAGCACTTAAATTTGAGTTCTGCAGTGCTTTCTGGTGGGTCCTGAGGGGTAAGAAGGTGTCCCTAGTATAGCTGCAGCAGAGTTGAAGACTCTGTTTCTCTTCTTCTCTCCCACCAGTGTGGCTGAGCAGCAGGGTCGACGGCGGGGCTGGTACACCTACACAGATTTGTGTGTGCTGCTGGAGCAACCAACCTGGCAGCTGGCTCTGGGCTCCCTCTGCCAGAGGCTGGTTAAGGTGAGGAGGGGTTAGAAAGGAGAGGGATCTTGAATGGGCTGATGTGTAGGTGTTGTAAAGCAAAACACTGAAAGGCTTAGGAAATGGGGCTTGGGAGTAGATGAGTGAGGGGAAGTTAGAGGAGCTTTGGAGAGCTCTGATTTGAAAAAATATTTTTATAGAAGATGGGTGCGTGTGTTAAAATAAGCAAACTGGTGCTTTCTTGCCTTCTCTCCTGCAGTTCTCCTGTCTGTTAGCCATGGCATATGTGAGCAGTGTGGCCTTGGCTGTGGCATCAGTGGCTGTAATACACCAGTCCTTGGGGCTGTCTTGCAGTCCCCCACCTGGCCCTCCTGACCTTGGACTGACCTCCAAGGGCCTCTTGGAGCCCTGTTTACCAACTTCTGTGCCACAGTGCCTGCCGTCTTCTGTTAACATCTCCACCTGCATGGAAGGCGACGTAGGGCTACGTTCACTCTGGGGCAGTCTTTTGGCCTCACTGACCCCCCCAACACTACCTCCCCCAGATCCCCCTGCCCCACCCACACTTCTCCATAACTGCCGCCTTTGCCAGAATGTCCAGAGAGATCCTCCAACCTGCCGTGCCTGCCACCACCCCAATCGCACGGTGTCTGCTGGGCCTCCCAGCCCCTGGTACCACACCCATGGCCTGGCTCCACCTTGGCCCTGGAGCCCAATGGCTTCTCCGCTCACCCATCCCCAGCAGTGTTCCCTTTTCAGTGTCATGGAGTTGGCTCGTCTCAAGTCTTTCATTTTCCCAGGCTAGGTAGAGCTCTGAGGAGTGCATTAAGAGGATTTGGGAGTCCCTGAGAACCTGGGAGAGGGAAGTTTGACTTAAATCCTCGCTACCTCTCTGGGTCTTTGGCTGATCCCCTGTCCTCCTGGGTAAAAGCTTAGGGGATTGAGGGGCAGAAAGGCTATAAAAGGTCATTCACTCTCCCAGACCTTAATGGCTGGCTGCTTGGCCCAGGGCAGTGATGGTGTCAGGGAAAACTTCAGCTTGGTGACCACGGGCATGTCACAAATGGCAGAGGAGAAGCCCCCATTTTGGGTCGCTGGGGCTCTTCTAGGCTTTTGCTTTTGAGTTTCCTTGGGTGAAAAAGAAAAGGTTGGGAGATGGGGGAACTAGGGCGAGGGGAGAAAGGAAATGTCCACATGGGCTTGTGTGATGTCCCAGAGACAGAAGAGCCAGGGACTGATGGGACCAAGGTGAAATCTGCTTAGGGAAAGATGGGTGAGTCAGGAAAGCCTTTCTACACCCATAGACTGCTGGGACCTTCAACTTTGACCTTCTGTCTCCAACCTCTTAGTACCCTGCTCCGTAACTCCCTCTCTTCCAGTTTCTCTCCAGGTGTTCTCTTCACAGGCCTTTCCGGCTATTGCTTTGTATCTGGGTTTTTCATGCTTTTATAGAACTGATATTTCAATAAACAGTTTCAGTTGCATGGCCTGGACTTTTCCTTCTGCGGCAGCCTTGAAGATCTTTCCTCCTGTGTTTGCCTTCCAAGCCTCCCTATTTTCTGATTCCATCATCTTGTAGCTGTTTTCCTTGAACCCCAGTTTACTTAATGTATCATTTGAGAGTCATAGGTTCCCATTTCAAACTTCTCTTTGACCCTGCTTCCAGCACCCTAGGGCCCTAGCCCTGCTTTACTTGGGGTGCCGTGGGACACAAATGATGGCTGTCCCATGTCCAGGGTTGGCCTTGTCTGTGGCATGTGAGCACTACCCTTGTGAGACCAAGTATCTAGCAGTCCCCTAAGCTTCTTGAGGGCAACTCCAAGGATACCTTTCTGTGCTGGTGCTGACGGCCTCTTCACTTGGCTGACATGGTGAAAGGTGTTGCTAAAAGAATGCTGAAGCTAGGTTGTCATTGGAAGAACAGATTGGGTGGTGGCCCAGCAGGTTAGGCTGCTGAAGATCATGAACAACATGGTGGCACTGCCCTCTATGGGCCATTTTGGCAATATCAGTTATTTTTTGGTTGTCAAGAATTTAAGGGGGGATGTATGGGGCATTTAGTCGGCCTGGGCAGGATGCTAGACATTCTCAGATACTCAAGACATCTCTTGCTAGGAAGAATTCCCAAGACAAATTTTGGATGACTTAGATGGTTATTGTGCATGTTGAAGTCCTTATTGAGCCTGGAACTATCTTTTTATGTATAAACATGAATTTGTACATTTTGAAGAAGACTTGATTTGTCAGGTATGAACTTCTATGAAAATTAAAACAGATTTGTCATGTTCATTGCTTTACCAAGAGTTTGTCGGCCATTTTGCGACATCAAGTCACCACTTGATCAAGTACTGAAGGTAGCATCTGAGTTACTCAGTTGCCAGTTAAGTCCCATTATTAGCTGCCACAGTAGCTGTCACATCCTCAAAGATTCTACATATGGGTGTGGGACTTGGAATGCTCCGTTGTCTTCTGGTTTATCCATGTCCAAGCTTTTAGGCATTAAAATACATGTTGTTATAAATTTATTTCTTACAGAGAATATATAACATGGAGTTTGGGTCATAGTTGTGTGTGATTTGGGGCATATTATCCATGAGGTTTTTGCCATTCCCCCCCCCCCCCCCCAGTACTGGGGATTGGACCCTGAGGCCTTTTAACCCTGAGCTACATCCCCAGTTTGTTTTTCTTTTTTTGAGACAGGGTCTCCCTAACTTGCCCCCAGGCTGGCCTCTAACTTGTGATCCTCCTTCCTCAGCCTCTGAAGTTGTTGGAATTACAGCTGTGCTCCACTGCATCCAGCTCATGAGTTTCATTTTGAGATGATCCAGGGACCTGTCCTGATATGGCTGAAAAGTGTGGATCTAATAGGGATGGTTATAAATGGTTGTGGGAGGAAATAGTCTGCAAAACCTTTCCAGGCTATTTTGATAGTTGTCCATGTTCTCCTACCTTCCAGAGCCTGGTCTAGGAGCAGGGAATGAAGATTCTTGGGGGAGGGGTCCAGAATTCAGCTCCCCAGTTAATGGCTGATGGAATTTGCACAAGAACTGGGCAAAGGTGAAAGGGCCGCGTCCAGCCCAAAACCCTCATCCCTTTGCTCCGCTTCATTGAAACCCCCACCCCCTCCCCACTTCTGGCAACTAACCTCACCCAAACTCCTACCTCTTACTCTGTACTTAACTCTGGCTCAGGGCAGCATGAGCCGATCACACCTTCATCCCATTCCACTCCACTCTGTGGGCTCCCAGGATGCCCCAGTTTCCCTACCACGGCCACTGGCTGTTCCCCAGAATTCCTCTTCCCACACTTGGGCCTCTCCATGTGGGCCTCCCACCTGGGGCCTCAGCTGTCTTCTGGCTCTGCAGGTAGGAAGTAGAGGTACAGAAGTTGGTGCTAGCTGAAGGGGGTGCTTGGGGAGAATCATGTGGCATGAAAGCCCTCTAGAAATAGGAATTTCGAAGACTGTCCCTCCCCATTCCTCCACCTGCAGCATTTCCTGGTCCTGGCTTCTCTGCTCTGTGCCTCCCACCTGCTCCTGCTTCATAGTCTTCCCCCAGGAGGACTCTCTTACCCCCCTGCTCAGCTCCTGGCCTCCAGTTTCTTTTCATGTGGTGTGTCTACAGTCCTACAAACTGGGATGGGCAGCAGGTGAGGGAACCCCTTGGAGAGAGGGTGATGGCTCCAGGGGGAGGAGAGGCATAGGGGGGAGTACTATTGGCTGCCACATGTTTCCAGAGCTGCTAGGGCTCCTGTTCCTACAGGCTGCCTCTTGTCCAGGCTCCATCCTTAGAGTTCCTTATCCCTGCTCTGGTGCTGACCAGCCAGAAGCTACCTCTGGCCATCCAGACACCTGGAAATAGTGAGTACAGAGCAAGGGTGATGGTGCAGGGGAGTTGAGAGCTCATCTGAGCATACATGGAGAGTTGGGCCCAGGATTGAGGTTGGGCAGTAGTGGGACTTCTGGGCGCTTAGGGTCTTGGAGTTGTGCCAGGCACCAGTGAGGACTGGAGAGCCATGGGTTTCCATCCCATTTACTTTTCTCCTTTTCATGCCCTAAACTATTCCCAGGCTCCGTTGTGTTGCACCTGTGTAGGAGGCCTGGCTGCCACAGCCTGGAGCTCTGGAACACTTCTCTTCGAGAGGTGAGTGCCTAGGGATGGGAAGCAGGAGGGTTAAGGTGGCCCAGGCCTGGGAGGTTCTCATTTCCATTATGCAGATACTCTGAGATACTCTGGGGAAAGAAGTTGGGGCAGGGTCCCGTCCCTGAGGTTAGCAAATCCAGGCTGAGGTTAACTTTACTGAGCAGAAAGTTTTTTTTTCATCTTCTCTTTTCTACCAGGTTTCAGGGGCAGTGGTGGTATCTGGGCTGCTGCAAGGCATGCTGGGGCTGCTAGGGGCCCCTGGACGCCTGTTCCTACACTGTGGGCCCCTGGTGCTGGCCCCCAGCCTGGTTGTGGCAGGGCTCTCTGCCCACAGGGAGGTGGCCCAATTCTGCTCTGCTCACTGGGGCCTGGCCTTGCTGTACGTGAGTCCTGAGGCACAGGATAGTGCCTAGTGGGGTGTGCGGGACTGGGGGAGGACAGAGCTGCTGGCCCTATCAGAATCAGCAACAGTCTGGGCAGGGACACCACCTTTTAGACTTCAAATCCAAGGTTTTTTCTTGATTCATCCAGTCTCCTTGAGAGTCTTACTGTCTCTTCATGTCCCCCATGTACCTCTCTACCCCTTTCATGGAATTTTCTTTGATAGGACCCCCTTTATTTTTGTGGTGCTAGGACCCTTTTTATGATATTCTTCTCACTCCCACCTTCATTGCCATCCCTCAGGATTCTGCTGCCTCTTGTCCCTAAAGCTGCTTCTCTTTTCTAGGCTTATCCTGCTCATGGTGGTCTGTTCTCAGCACCTGGGCTCCTTCCAGGTACCCCCATGTCCCTGGAGGCCAACTTCAACCTTTTCAACTCATATTCATGTCCCTGCCTTTCGGTTCCTCTCGGTATGTGGGGGCTGGGTAGTTGAGGCTAGAAGGGCTGGCACAGAATGCTCCCTGGCCCCCGAGTTTTGGGCTTCTGTCTACCCAATCAAAGCTGGTTCACAAGGTTCTGGGGGAGGAGCTCTTTCCTGTCTCAGTCTTGCCCCTCAGGTGCTGATCCCTGTGGCCTGTGTATGGGTCATTTCTGCCCTCCTGGGTCTCAGCATCATCCCCCTGCAGCTGTCTGCCCCCACCCAGGCACCATGGTTTTGGCTGCCTCACCCAGGTAGGTTCTTTCCTAGGCCCTTGTCCTCTTACTCAAATCAAGGTATCTATTTCTTTGAACTTAGATTTGGTGGATTTCACTTCTTGTGTTTCTTAAAACACACAGGAAAGAGAAATTGCCAGCCTGAGGGGCAATCCAGCCCCTCCCTGCAGCATTTTATTGGGGTTGGTGTTGAGACAGACATATATAGCTCCACCGCTCACTCCTTACCCAACTTGCACATTTACATTACTGAGCTCCAAGGGCTTTTCAGCTGGTGATCTATGTAGAAAGATTATTTTTGAGGCATAGTATGCAAAATGTCCTCATTCATCTATTTACCTATTGTACTGTTAGGGATCAAACCTGGCCCATCAATTAATAAGGCTCTTTTGAGTGCTGATTGTGTGCTAGGCATGTGGCAGGGGACATAGTGATGAATATGACATAGTATCTGCCTTCATGAGACTGGCAGTCAATTGGGGAATATAGATACTAATTAAATAGGGACCTGAGTAAATGTGGAATTGCAATTGTGGTAAGTATACTCAAGAGGAATTACACTAGCCAGGCATGGTGGTACATGCCTATAATCCTAGTGACCCAGGAGGCTGCAGTAGGAGGATCACAAGTTAGAGGCCAGCCTGAGCTGCTCAGGGAGGCCCTGTCTCAAAATAAAAAATTAAAAAGAGGGGCTAGCGACTGGGGTTGTGGCTCAATGGGGGAGTGCTTGCCACATATGTGTCAGGCACTGGGTTTGATCCTTAGTACCACATAAAATAAATAAAGTAAAGGTATTGTGTCCATCTACTACTAAAAAAAAGAAATATTTTTAAAAAGGGGGTGAGGGGATGTGTAGCTCAGTAGTAGAGATTCCATCTCTACTATTGGATTCCATCCCAGTATTGAGAGGGAAAAAAAGGAGCTACATTGCATGGTGAGAGCTAATAATGGGAGATTTGACATCATCAGGAAAGTCTGGAAAGGTGTTCTTCCAGTGGTCATTGAGCAGAGATCTGAGAAATGAGTAGGAGCTAACTGTCAGGAGGCAGGAGAGAATATTGTGGATGAAGAGAATAGCATGTACAAACACACTGTGGTGGCAAGGAGCACTGCAAGTCCAGGGCCTAAAGCAAAGGTAGTGTGTCTAGGGTGAGGAAACTGAGGTGAAGTTTGGCAGATGAGGCTAGAGAGTGCTAAGGGTCAAACCAAAGAAAGTCTTGTAGACCACAGTAAAGAGATGGGTCTTTCTCCTTAGAGTTCAGGGGTTTTGTCCCAAGATATCTTCAAAGACAATGGCTTCTAGCATTCTTATGGCACAGGCTGTTGTAGGTAGAGGGGTGTTCCAGAATTGAGTCTGGCCTTAAGGTGGCTCCTTTCCCTCCTCAGGAGAATGGGACTGGCCCTTGTTGACACCCAGGGCTCTGACTGCAGGCATCTCTATGGCCCTGGCAGCCTCCACCAGTTCCCTGGGCTGCTATGCTCTGTGTGGCCAGCTGCTGCACTTGCCTCCTCCACCTCCACATGCTTGCAATCGAGGGCTGAGCCTGGAGGGGCTGGGCAGTGTGCTGGCTGGGCTGCTGGGGAGCCCCATGGGCACAGCATCCAGCTTCCCTAATGTGGGCACAGTGAGTCTTTTCCAGGTATGGGAACCTGGGACAGGGGTGGGGAACTGGAGGTTCAGTAGAAAGTAGAGAACACATTGACTGTTTGCCAGCTGTGCCCAGCACTTAGGCAGTTCACATTAATGACTTCACTTAGGGCTGTACCTAGAAGTGGTAAGAGGCTAGCAATGAGGCCAAGACAACAAATTACCACATCAGAGACAGCTGGCACTCTACCAAGGATGGGGTTCCAGTGAAGAACAAGTCAGATAAAGTCATACTCTCTTGGGGACTTCCTCAGGAGAAGAAAATAAAGTAAATAAGGTAATTTCAGAGAGTGATAGTGCTATTAAGAAAACAAAGTTGTGGAATAGTGGCTGAGCAGAGAAGGCATCTTTAGACAGAGAGTGGTTACAATGCTACTTGGATGGTAACATTAAAGTTGGGATCTAAATGATGAGAAGGAGTCAGCCAGGCAAGGATCTGGGACAGTCCAAGGAAGTGGCTGTTTCTAGTATCTCTTCCTGCAGGCTGGATCTCAGAGAGTGACCCACATAGTGGGGCTGCTCTGCATGGGGCTTGGGCTCTCCCCTAGGCTGGCTCAGTTCCTCACTACAATCCCGCTGCCTGTGCTTGGTGAGTGGATGTATTGTCAGGCATCCTTTCTCTCTAAATAGCCTTCCTGGATGGGTGGATATGAACATGTGTCAGCTGCCCTCATTGTTTTGACCCAACATCTTGGTTTCTTGAATGGACTTTTGGGACTCCTGAAAAATCTGAAAAAGGCCTTTTGGTAGTCCCCCCATTATAATCTGCCTGCCCACGATACACTGTGTCCTCTCCCTCTCTCAACCCTCTTGATTTTTTTTCTATATGAGACAGGTGGGGTACTAGGGGTGACCCAGGCTGTGGTTCTGTCTGCTGGATTCTCCAGTTTCCACCTAGCTGACATTGACTCTGGACGGAATGTCTTCATTGTGGGCTTTTCCATCTTTATGGCCCTGTTGCTGCCAAGATGGCTTCGGGAAGCCCCAGTCCCACTTAACACAGGTAGGTGGAGAGGGAAAGAGGAGTTGTTCAGTAGTGGAAAAGTACTGTTTGGACTCCTGGCCCCACAATCTTCTCTGGGCTTTGGAATAAATAATTTATCCATTTGTTGAACACCATGCTAGCAACTTGGGATACAAAGGAATTCTAGATGTTATAGTCTAGTAAAAGACATGAGGTATGCAGGAAAATAACAAGAAAGATTTAGATAAAGAGCTGTGGCTCAATGGTGATCCAGTAACATTAAGCTGGTCTTGAAGGATGGTAAACATATTTGGTAAAAAGATCATTTTTGATGATAAACAAAGACTTAGAAGTAGGAGAGCAGCCAATAGCTTAGCTTATCTAGAGCAATGGTTTTCAACTGGGGGTGATTTTTCCCCTATGGGGAACATTTAGCAATGTTGGGGAAAACACTTTTGACTACTGCAAATGAGGGAAGGGAGTATTGTTACTAGCAATTAGTACAGGGAGAGATGTTGCTATATTTCCTGGGCAACTTGTGAGACCCTGTCTCAAAATGAAAAAAGAGGGTCCTGGGAATGTAGTTCAGTGGTAGAGCACCTGAGTTCAATCCCCAGTACCCGCCCCCCCCCCCAAAAAAAAAAGAATCCTTCAATGCATAGGACAGTCCCTCATCTGGCTCAAAAAGCCAATAGTACAGAGGTTGGGAGACTTAAGATAAAATATAGCAGGCATAAGGAATAGGAGATAAGGTTGGGGATTTTAATACCAAAATCCCAGAGAAATGAAGCCTGGAACAATCAAAGCATATCTAAGCATATGTGAAGGTTGTATGGATGCTCAGGAGATAGGGTGTTGAGCAAGGAACCTTGAGAAAGGGCCTCAGTGAGGAAAATGGAGAGTAGAGGGATAAAAGATAAGGGAGGTATAATGACAATTTAGAAAGGTCTGTCTTTAGTCCAAGACTTAGGTTTAAGTCTGGAAGGATAAGACTCCTTGGCTCTGAATAAGTATTAGAGTTCCCTTCCTGACTGGTCCTAACCCTTTGTAGGCTGGAGCCCCTTGGATGTGTTACTGTGCTCTCTGCTGGCAGAGCCCATCTTTCTGGCTGGACTCTTGGGCTTTCTTCTGGAGAACACTATTTCTGGTAAGTTGACATCAGGCCCTAGCTGCCTGGGGCATGGCCAGGAAGTTATCACTCCCTGGTTTGAGCACAACCTGACAAACTTTTTTTTCCCCCCCCCCCGCAGGTACAAGGCTTGAGCGGGGCCTCAGTCAGGGGCTGCTATCTTCTTTTGTTGCCCAAGAGACTCAAATATCTCAGAAGTCCAGGGAGAAGGCTGCTCAAGAATATGGGCTTCCTTTCCCCATTCAAGACATGTGTCCCTGCATTCCCCAGCCCCTTCATTTCCTCTGTCCAATGCCTGAAGACCTTGGGGATGAGGAAGGAGCGCCATCTGAGCCAGGAGAGACCGCAGACTTGTTGCCTGGCTGTGGGGAGTCATGCCCTGCATCTAGCAGAGAAGGATTTAGGTCAAAGTAATTATCAAGACTCCTCTTTCTGCTTTCATTGAGAATCAGCTCCCAGGCTCAGAGGGACTGTGTATGTGTCATGGGCCCACCTAGAGGTCTCATTTCCCAGTAGGATGGGTTGCCTTTTCTTCTCTTAATTAGGCCTATTATAGAGCAGGGGCCATGATTTAGTGGATCATGATGAATGAATGAGATTTTTCCTATAAACTATTAATGTCATCTGAACCCTAGCATTCACTTAATAAATATTAATGCTTCTCATGTGCTAGGTTCTGAAACTAAAATATGAATATGATGGGGTCCTTGTCCTCTCCGGGTATTTAAGGTTTAAAAAGATATATGTAATTTCTTATTAAAATGCAAAGCAGAAGGCAATCTGTAATAAAAATAATACCATGGGAGCAGAGGAAGAAGTAGTTCATTCTGGGAATAAGGCTTTATGAAAGCAGCAGTGCTGAGGGTGACCTTGACAAGCAAGGATTCCGGTTTTGGAAAACAGATGAGAAATTTTCAGGCTCAGGAATCCAGCGTGAACAAAGGCATGAGTTGTACAAAGTACTGATGAGGGGTTTCAAGTCTTCAGTGGTTGCCGCAGTCTGGCTGCAGCAAAATAACCGGGGGGTGATGAACAACTTGTGTAGATTGATACAGCAGGAGTAGGAGCCTTTTATTGCAAGGACAGGAGCAGTATTTATACATTCCACACAGCTTATCTAATTACATCAGTCAACCAATCAGGAATCTCCACACTTAATGGCTCGCTTTTGTTACTTCTCAAACCACTCCCTCTGGCATTTTGCCAGGCACCATCCAGACTTGTTTACTAACTCTAACATTCCCCTGGCAAAATGCCAGGTGTTATTTTGACTTGTTTATAGACTCTAACAAGTGGTGATAGATTATGAGTATGGGGGTGCATAAAGGGTGAGATGATGCAGAGGAGGTAAAGGATGAAATCAGAATTTATGCCCAGGAGCCTCCTCTCTTCTACTGCTCTATTAGCGGCCAAGACTCCAGAGATGATATGGTGAAATCCAATTCTTTCATTTTATTAAAAAAGGAAAAGTCTGGACAGTATGGGTGGGAACAGAAGTAATCTGGGTTTGACAAATTCAAACCCACATCCTACTCGCCTACATTTCTTCTGGTATTCTTTCTCCGCTGCTGATCTGACTCCTAGAAAGACCACTACCCCTCAACCTCCCTAGTAAGGGCTGCCGTGGCCCTCCAGTCCTTCCGCGCTCCTACAAGTTGCTCAGTGAACCCGAAGCCCCGCCCCCGCCAGGCCTGGACACCGCCTCCGCGTCCAAGACCCGCCTCCGTGGGGGGTATCGGTCTCTACCCTACGCCTTTCAGTTTCCGCGGGCGGACGGGCCTGCCGTGAGGAGGGTGTGAGTTCTTGAGGAGCTGACGGTAGGTGGTATCGAGCTCAAGTTAGGCCAGGGTCTAGACCGGTTTGGGCGCCGTGGAGCTGCGCGGATTCTGCGGGTTGGGCCCGGCACGGACGCTTTTTCCCAGAATGGACAGCGCGCAGCCGGGGATTTGGGCAGGCCTCCAAGAGTAGGCGGGGCTGCGCGTGCGCAGCGCCCTCCGACCGTACTTCGGCGTTTTGGGGGCGTGAGTGAGGCTTTTCCTAGGCCTGCTACTTGGTGTAGCCGGGCTACGAACCGGAGGTGTTCACTGGGTTACCCGCTAAGGTGTTCTGACTATGCCTCGGTGCAGCCGGTGCTATAGAAATGGAAAGGCGGACCGCGGAGTCTCTTCTGGGGGGGGGGGGCAGATGGAAACTGGACGCCAGGCGGGGTTCCTGGGGTGGGCTGTGGTTTTGGACTCAAGGTTCGCCCTCTCCCAGGGGACGAGGAGTGGCCCGGCTTGAATCTCTTTAGGGCTTACTGCCCCCTGCAGGGTAGTGGAGGAACTGCCCTGAGAGGGGTCTGCTGGCCGAGGGGCGGAACCCTCGCACCCCCCTTCTTCAGACAAGAGTACTAAACGGGTGAATATAGTTAACATGAATGTTAAAGGCGGCCTTGAAGAAAACAGAGGAATGAAATTTAGAGGCCTCAGTCTCGAATGGGCCTGGCTAGTGAGAGAAGCCAACGTGGGTCTGTTGCAGAAATATTCCGACGTTTTTACAGGGCCTGTTGACCCTAGCCACATTTTAAACTACACACTTTCATCAAACAAAAACCATCATTTTGAGGGTTCTGAGGTTCTTGGCTTTCAGAAAGACGGACTAGAATGATTAGCCGCATTTTGGTGACTCTTTAAAAAAAAAGTGAACACTGGGGAATTTCTATAAGGGAAATTGAAGGGTTTGGCAACTTAATTTGCATTTGTGATCTTTGGCGGTAGGTGGTATGGAGCTCATTGGAACTCTGTCCAATGAGGACTAGCTTAATCATTCCAAGGTCATTTTTGCCCTGTAGGAACAGCAGTGAGTGATGTGACTGGACACATCATCTCCCAACAACGCCTTGGCTGCTGCAGATAAGTCACCATATAGTAGTAAGTCATGCAGTCATGGGTCATTAAGATTGATACATTTTGAGATACAGTATTAGGTGATTTCATCGTGGTGCAAACACCATATAGAGTGTATGAAAATGCAAACTAAAGTGCCTGCAATGTTACTAGCAGTATACTGTTATGGAACTACTGTCATATACATATGGTCTGTCATTGACTGAAATGTTATTATGTGGCATGACTCTTTAGTTACAGTGCAAATTAAATAATGTCACAAGGTCACTCTTTGAAAACTAGGTTATGGTTGAAAGAATGATGATTTAGACTAAGTTGGAAATGACTGTGTTAATGAAATGTAACAGGAATTTTATTATTTTCTTTATATTCTAAGTTTTCACCTCCTGGTACTTCTCTTCATTTTGTATTTATAGACTGGAATAATGGAGGAAACTATATTATTCCCCCCACACACAGGAAAAATAAGCTCTGTTAAGCAGTCATTTTTACTGAATATCTACTAGGTTAAGGCTACATAGAAAAGTTGATTTCCAAACTTTTCCAAGAGTTCCAAGCTGTGCAAAGAGTATGATGTCATTGGTGGCTGTGCCTTGGAGTCGGGATATGAGTTAAGTGGAAGTTAATTATCTCTTCTTCTGTGGTGTGCTGTGGTTTATATTCATGACCTCCTGGTCATTTGTAAAAAGTGGATTTGGGTCTTTTCTGTTGCTCCTGGTCACAGAGCTTATTAGCTCCTTTCTATGTTTGTGCTGTTAATCTCTAAGAATTCGACCACAGCTAGGCACAGTGGCATATGCTTGTTGTCCCAGCGACTCATGAGGCTGAGGCAGGAGGATCAAAAGTTCAAGGCCAGCTTCAGCAACTTAATAAGACATATCTCAAAATAAAAGTGCAGGAGGGTGATGGATCACACTATGCATTATTGTGCATACAGAACTGAGCTACGTGTGAATGTTCCTTGGTTTAATAAAAAATTTGAATTTGACTATAGAGATGGACTGCTTCTGTATGCACATATATGCATAACTTTTTCATATAATTCTAGAAGATTTGGGTGTATAAGCTCTACATTAGGAAGCTCTGTTTTAGAGATTAAAAAAAATTCCTGAGAGCTTCTAGAGTTTTGTTTTTAGATGATGATGAAATAATTTGTATATCCTGCCCCTGACAAGACTTGATGATGTTTTACAATACAGGAACTATCTTTCTCTTCTAAAAGTTCTGGGAAATGATAGCATTGACATTTATTAGGATTTCTATTGTGGTAAAGGTGCAACAAGAATGGTTTGGGTTTCACATTAAACTATATTATGAGAGAGTGGAAACATACCAATTGGCTGAAGCTTAAATATTATGGAAGAAAGTACTATTCTCTACCTTCTAGGAACTTTATGTGGAAAAAGATTCTAACTAGATTTTTAAAAAACAGATACAACACTTTTTTTTATACATTTATTCTATTTATTTATTTTTATGTGGTGCTGAGGATTGAACCCAGTGCCTCGCACATGCTAGGCAAGCGCTCTGCCATTGAGCCACAACCACAGCCCCTCTAACTAGATTTTAAGTGGTAGTAAGGTTGGTGCTCAGCTGGTTCAATAATAATAAGAAGAATGTAAATCCATGTTTCCTATTTTGTCAGGATTTTCACAGGATTGTAGTTGATGCATAGTTGTCTGAGCACCCTCCTAGGCCTACATTACTCTGGAGATACTTTGCTAAATTAGGCCTTTTCTGCAGATGGAGGAATTGGAGCAAGGCCTGTTGATGCAGCCATGGGCTTGGCTACAGCTTGCTGAGAACTCCCTCCTGGCCAAGGCTTATATCACCAAGCAGGGCTATACCTTGCTTGTTTCGGATCTTCACCAGGTGTGGCATGAACAGGTGGATACTAGTGTGGTCAGCCAGCGAGCCAAGGTAAGTGTAAAGAGAAGTTCCATTGTGGGGATGTGTTCTTTCCTAGTGAAGATCAGGGGATGTTAACGTCAACCAGCTTGACCACTTGTATGTTGGCAAGGAAGATTGAAATGAGTTGATACAATTCCAGTTTCAGGTTGAGCATCCCTCATCTAAAAATCCAAAATTCAAAATAATCTAAAATATGAAACTTTCTGAGCATAGGGCACTTATAAAGTTTCACATTTCAGAGCATTTTAGATTTTGAAATTTGGGTTGCTCAACCGGTAAACTCTTATACATACATTCCAAAATCCAAAACTCTGAAATATGGAACACTTCTTGTTCCAAGGAATGTTCAACCAGTTATGTCCTACACTTCTATCTGTAGTTGTGGGATCTTTCTGGGATGAGGGGAGAAGGGAGGAAGGGGAGAGAGAAGGAAGGTATAGTATATGTGTTTCTGTAGCATGATAATGCATAATGTGACTTATGTTGTCTAATCCATACAGGTCTTCTGTAAATTGATCTTGCCTAACACAGAACTTTGAAGTAGGCCAGTTGATTTCTGTGACTCTTGTTACTCTTGTTTTTGTTTTCTTCTTTCCTGTTGTGATGTTTTTCTCTTCCTTTCCCTTCCTCTCATGCCCATTGTCTTCACATTAACCAGGGCTTTCCTTTGCTACTGCTCAAGAGGGAGTTAATTTCCTTTTAGCACCCTCAGTGTGTAAAACTACTGTCTCTTCAGGAGCTGAACAAGCGTCTGACTGCTCCCCCTGCGGCTTTTCTCTGTCACTTGGATAATCTGCTTCGCCCATTGTTGAAGGACATTGCTCACCCTAGTGAAGCGACCTTCTCTTGTGATCGTGTGGCAGAGGCATTGATTCTACGGGTGCGGAGTGAGCTTTCTGGTCTCCCGTTCTATTGGAACTTCCACTGCATTCTAGCTAGTCCTTCCCTGGTAAGTTCAAGTCAGATTTGGGGTGGACGTCAGG